GATTTGTTCCAACCACGTTAAGCCACTTTTGCAGTTATGTGTCCACAGGGGGCAATAGTGGTCCTGTTTAAATTCTGGAACCAGATTGATAAAAATCCAGTTTGAAGTAATGAAATTAAATAGGTTAAGATCAGATTTGGGGATTATTTGAGTCGAATGCATATTWTAGCAAGGGTGGGGGGTAAAGAAAAGGGAGATTTCGTGTAGTTTAGGATGTAAGGTGATGTTTCTTTGTAGGACACCATCCGGTTTGGTTCTTATATAACAGCTCAGCCTCTTCGTCGTGTTTCTGCGCGCGGTTTGGAGACCTCCTCCTCCTCCTCCTCCTCMTCCTCTCTYTGCTTCGGTTCATGACAGATTCCAAAAGGTGGCCTTTCGGAGATCTGCCACATTCCCCTCCTTCCTCTTCCTCTTCCTCTTCCTCCAGGGTACCGGGGATCAGCACCGTGGACAGCTCCCAGCCTCCTCACGCAAACCGCCGCCCGCGGTTCGCTGCTCGCGCGCGCAAAGTAGGACGCGGGGAGTTCGAGGCGCACTCGGAACCCATGCGAGACCGCAGCTCCGTGGATTTATCCGCTGTTCGCTGACCACCCGGATGTGACCCAGCTGAGGATCGGAGTCCGCGGTCAGAAGCTGGAACAATGATCTCACGATACAAACCGGTAAGGAGCGACTCTCCCGTCTCTGTTCCGCTTCCAGCCCCGGTTTGAGGGGGGGACACAAAGGGACGCAAAGCTCCTCTTTTAGCTCATAAATTTAAAGAGCAGAGCTGGATGATCCTACAAGTCATCGGGCCGTGTGTGGAGTGTGTGAGGGGATCATCCATCATTCTGCAGCTCAGTTAGAAACAAGGTGAAATATGGAGCGAGCTGATTTTAGCAGCAACATTTTAAAACATGTAACCCCGCCTTCCTTTTTTTCTCTCAACAATGAAACACCACTCCGAAAAAGAAAATAATAATAAAATGTTTTACTCCCACAGAAAAAACAAATGCATCCTGCTGCTTGACCTAAAACTCATACTGCTCTGTGATATTTACAGTTTGATTGTAGACCCATTTAATCCCCAGAACCTGTAAAATCCAGTTTTTTTCCCTTTCTGAATGCTCCTATCTGTCTGATGCTTTAACTCAGCCAAGGTCATTCATGGTTGAGCTTTAACCTGTGCAGGTGTGCAGGATTAACAACAAATGATGTCTTAACTGAGAGGAAACAATGTAATTTCTTAGAATTAAATCAGAATAAAGCAGCTTCAAACTGTCACACAGGTGCATCAGATGTCAGTGAGAATATTTACTATGTAAATTTTTAACCATTCAAAATGTTCACTGGTTGCAGGGATATTGACTTTTAGTTGTGACTTGAATAGGCTACTTGTATTTAACATTTCAACTTTATTCATAAATTTGTCTCCTTGAGATCTCTTCCATTTCTTTAAAAACATCAGTCTCTGAAACCTACTTCAATGGACRTGCAGTTTTGTCCTCCTTTTAGCTTCTGTCTTGCTAATTTTAGCTTCTAGCTATTTTGCTACATCTAGCTGTTAGCTACTTGCTAATTGTAGCTTTAAGCTATCATTTATCTGATTTTAGAACATAGAGATGTATTGCTCCCAGCAAACTCAAAATTTTCTTTTAAAACATTACATCGTTTAAATGTTTATATTTACAGACTGTAACTTTTCCCTCCTGAGTTATTTAACTTCCGTGACTCGGCTCCTTCCATATCTAACATTTAAAATATTTCATGCATTTATGACACATGACAGGGCARCTTTATTTCTCAACCTTAAACTCTTAAATCTTGTTGACTTACATAACATCTATGTTTAAAGTATGCGGCACACTCTGGCTCTCTGCTGTTAAAGCGCTGAGTTTTAAACACTTACCTGCTATAAAGAAGCTTGATTTGAATTCCTGCTCTTAAGTGACTATAAATCAATCTCTGAGATGTATTTTATATTTAAGTGGAAGTAATTGGTTGTCAACATTCGTGAATGCACTTTAACAGAATGATTTTTAGAGCACTTCATGTAGAGATGGCACCTACTGAAGTGACTAATGTGGTACTAAGTGCAGATAGAAAGAGACGGCATGCTCGATTTTGGACCTTTAAACTTCAGTTAAACCTTCACTCATATTTAAACARCATCCTTTTAAAGAATCCTCTGCTCTGTGTATTTAATGATTTAAATAATTATGCGTCCAAACAGAACATAGCTTTGAACAATCTATGGTTCATCTGAGTTGAGATGTTCCACAGGGATGGATCCTTGGACCACCTCTATTTATGCAGAAACTGAACCATGGTGTTCAGGAAATTACCCAAAAATGTAAAGTTTTCCATTGATGAAACACAAAATTCTTTCTTTTTTTGTTTCCTAATGATGCGTTATTTTTATAAAGTCCCTTTTTTAGTATAAGAATACAAAAACACTCATAATGTGCTGCTGCTCAGACATGAGTTATGTTGAGTTTTACTGCAGCTTATTGACTGTTTGGCAGTCTGACAGATTTTGTTCCCCCTCTGCTCAGGGAGATAATTGATGTGTTCAGGATGTGAGTTTACAGCAATGCCACTCATTTGTTCCCCTTCATAGTTGAAATGATAATCTTACTGGATATTTTAAAGCTTAGTGTCCTTTTCCCCGTTACATTTTATAAATAACTGTTCTTCTGTTGACATTCAAGCATACATTATCTCTGTTAGCTGTATAATTATTGACCTTTAAAATCAGTTTTAGCGTTATTAAAGGTGGAAAACCTTGGTAATCTTCAGGTTTTGCATTGTCAATGAAATAATCATTTCATWTATCCTCTATGCAACTAAAAACTATTATCTTTATAATTTATGTTTGACTTTAGTGTCTGAAAAATACCTGTCTGAGCACTGTGGTCACCTCAGCTGTGACATGGTCCTTTGCTGYATTTCCTGCTTGCTGGACTGAGATATTTTAAAGCAACCGGTTTGAGTCTCTTTGCTGGACAAACTGTGTGACACCAATTCTAAAATTAACTCATCCCCCTGTGCAGGAAAGTAACGAAAGGAGAGCAATACRTTTTGTTAAATGAAAAAAGACCGGCGTAATCCATTAGGAGAAAAATACATTTATTTTATTAATCTTTAAGCTTTGTGCAAAAACAGTCAAACAGCTCAGAGGCTTATACAGTATTTTATGTTGTACTAAACCTGCAATGCATGCATGTAAAAATGTAAAGAAATTTGTTTAGGAACTCGCGTAAACTCCTCGTTACATTGAGCTTATCTCTCTGCTGTAATGTAAACATGGAATACATTAAACAGGAATTATTGCACCAGGAAAAGCCACAAGGCTTCTGTTAGGTAGATTTTCAAAACCTACTCMCATGTGGGTCTCTGCTGATCCCTCTGGTGACCACAGTTGGATCGGTCCCCATAGGACTGGAACCATCCCTGGAGCGCATGACATTTTTTATTTTGCCACAATTAGAGAAAATGCCTTTTCTGCATAAATTCAGCATGAATTCAGAGCGTTCAATGACTGTCAAATTTGCTAAAGAATCCAAAAATGCTAGAGATTAAAGAAGCAGAACACTAAAAGGAAAAGAAAAAACTAGCTAAAGACAAAAAAGTTGCAAACCACCAGCTAAATGTTAAAAGTAGTGTGGCTGCACGATCCACACTGTCAGCTCATTTGTGCAAGTGCTAAATGATACTTCTGAATGTGCTGGATTTAGGGGAAAAAAAGAAAATATTTGTTTCTTTACTTAATTATAAATGTGTGTAACATTATATTCTGACAACAGTATTAATATTGTAGACATTTTGATTAATAAAATACAGATTTACGATGCGTACATATTTATTTATAATAACTTGCTAACTATTTTCTAGACAATCATGTTCTAACTCATCTGATCTTCGTTTAATTTTTTTCCTGAAATAAAAATCCACAGCTGTTGCAAACGTTGCCTTTTCTATGAAACATTGCAGGTGATGAAAGACTGAAAGCGAATGAATTCTGTCATCAGTTTAGCAAAATGCTACATGCTAAAAACAATGTTTCTGGGACTGTACGGATCGTGCTTCTGCTACGGATTGGGCAGCCACAAGCAGTAGCTAGAAGTTAAAAGTGGCAAATGAATGCSAAAAGTAGCAAATGGCTAGCTAAAAAGCTAATAGTTTTTTAAAAACTGTAGTTATGAACTTAAAAGAGTCAAAACGGGAGCTAAAAGCCCGAAGCACGAAATGGTTAACTAAAAATAGCAAAAGTGAAGCTAAGAGCTGAAATAAGCAAAATGATAGCTAGTTAAAAGTGACAAAACAGTAGCTAGATGCTGAAAATAGCTAAAGGCTAGCTTAAACCTCACCCCCTCCCACACCTGTCTGTGATCTGGTTCCTGGATCAGGCTGAAGGCCGCACAGAACGAACACTTTACATCCACATTCTGAACTATGGCTGTGCTGGTTTTGGGGACTGGATTCCTCGGGCTTATTCTTCAGATATTCACACAAGCATACAACACTCATGGCTTCAGATACACGTCCCCCTAAACTCACTTACTCCTCTGGCTAATAAATTTGCTCTATGCAGTTTTTTTTTAAACACCATAGTGTGTCACATTGTTGATATAATATGATGTTTTGTGTTGTTTTTTCCTCRTCTTCCCTTATGTGGTTTTTAGTTTTTCTGTTGTTAAAGGTAGCACAATTGTGTTTGCTGCATGACCTGCTTCACCTGTTCCCCCATGTTTGTCTTGTATGTCTTCTTGAATGGGTATTCCTTAACTGCCCCCTCCCCCTTCCCTGAATGTACAGCACCTTGTGAATTTATTTCTGTGAAAGGCGCTATATAAATAAAACTTTACATACTTTAAAGCTAAAAGTAGCAAAAAGCTAATAGTTTTATAAATAGACGCCTAAATGAGTTAGTTGGAAACTAAAAATTCCAAATAGCTATACTATTACTAAAAGTAGTGAAAGGCTATCTAACGGCTAAAAGCAGTAAAATGCAAGACTAAAGCTAAACGTGAGGGGAAAAAGTTAGCTCAAAGCTAAAAGTAGCAGGAAGGGAAGAGAAAAGGAGGAAGCTTTTTGAAGATTTAAAAGAAATCAATGATTCTGAAGGAAATGAAGAGATCTCAATGCTTTTCTAAAAATAAGTTAAGCATTTTAAAATATATAAATGTTACTAAAACTTATATATTATATATCCGAATGAGCTAAACGTGTTGATGTATAACAGCACAAAGTGTGCAGAAACAAAAACAGTATGAATGCTGGATGAACATTAAYAGTGTTGATGTCTGCAGCTCATTTCACCTTCAGTCTGTGACGTTATGAAGTAAATGAGGAGGGGGGCGGAGGATAATGCACGCCCTGTGTGTGCAGTCGTTTTCACGAGTATGAGCTCTAAGTCATGCTTCTCACGTACCTCCTGTATGACGTATCCTCTGTATCCAGCAGCAGCCAAACCCCTCGGCTCTCCCCTTCTCCTCTCTCTGTCTCGTTCCCTCCTGCCTTCACCTCCTCCTACGTTTAATGGCTCTGTTGCTCACACTTCCAGCCCGCCCGCCCCGCACACTCTGCCCCTCTTTTTGTCCAAGGTCGACTTTGAACTCTCATTTGTGAGGAGGCAGAAATAGCAGGTGCATTGCAGAATTCCGTTGCAGCTCTGTGTCTATGTGTGTGTGTGTGTGTGTGTGTGTGTGTGTGTGTGTGTGTGTGTGTGTGTGTGTGGTTGTGGAGAAAATGTCAATGCTGGAAATGTGCAG